ATGCAAAAAAAAAAGAATCTCACTACACAGATTTTCCTACAACATGAATTTTCAGATGAAATTATGTTGTGAATGTTTTTACATGCCAGTACCTATAAATCTACCTCATTCTTTTCAATGGCTACACAGTAGTCCATTGTATTGAGATATCATAATTTAATCTATTCCCAATCTCTTTCTACTAAAAACTGTGGTACAGTAAGTATCTTTGTACCCTTGTACATTTTTGTATTTTTATGGGATTAAAATCACAGAAGTAGAATTAGTGTGTCAAAGTGAACATTCCATTTTATTTTATCTCTTTTGTGGTAAGCTCATACTGAGTATGAACTCTTTACATAATACGTGATAGTGAACATTTGTTGACTCACTACTCAGAATCCATTACCTTTCTTCCCTCTTCCTAGCCATTCTAAGGTTTTCCCTTGTGAAACCCATCCTGTCCCATTGCATAGCAGTCATGCAATTCGGGTGGTATTAACTACCACCAGGTCATATCTTCGTCATTGCTCAGGGAAGGCAGTAATTTAGGTCTGTGGCAATCAGCACATGGCATCTGCCTTATCGAAATAACTGGTTCAAGTTGGATAGGTGAAAGAAAACTTCAGACTTTTTTCTCATGGGTAGACCCATGAGAAGTGATGCTTTCCCTCCTGAAATGTGGAAAAGAAATATAAATATAGGCTCTTATGAGAAACGGCTGAAGTAATTGACAATTTTGGGATGGGAAGTGATATTAAGGTTAGCCTTTTCCTTCATTTTTATTATTCTCATTGCTGAGATATGTCTGTATCATAAAAATCAATAATACACTTTATTCATGTCTTTTTTTTGGCCATGCCACACAGCATGTGGGATCTTAATTCCAGGACCAGGGATGAAACCTGTGTCCCCTGGAGTGGAAGCGCAGGGTCTTAACCACTGGACCATCAGGGAAGTCCCTGTATTCATGTCTTTGAAAAGCCCATTTGATATGTTCCTTGGGGATGGTGGTAAGTGTGCCTGGACATGGAGTTTGGTAGTGAAGACAAGGGAACTACAGGTGGAGTAGTTGTCTTCCTATATTAGACAACAAAAAATACTTCCTTGGAAAGTGATTTACCAAATCTGGAATATATACTTTTAGGTCTTTTTTTTCCCATTGCGCAGCACAGGCTCCGGACGCGCAGGCTCCGGACGCGCAGGCCCAGCGGCCATGGCTCATGGGCCCAGCCGCTCCACGGCATGCGGGATCCCCCCAGCCAGGGGCAAGAACCCGTGTCCCCTGCATTGGCAGGCAGATTCTCAACCACTGCGCCACCAGGGAAGCCCTTTAGGTCTTCTTGAAAGGTGGTTGGTGTCCCTCCACACGAACCGCATTCAGAGGTTCCATTTACACTCAATAAATTCTGTGTATTTCTCTGCAAACACTTTTGTGTGTGTGTGTGTGTGTGTGTGTGCTGGATCATGTTCTTTACTTCTCTGAGCACTTTCTCTCCCACTAATTATTTAAAAGAAAAAAAACAGATTAGAAACAACAACAATAATAGGTAGAACAATATCACAATAATGAAGTACTTAGGTTTCACTTAGATTTATATAACTTTTGTTTACAAAGCAGTTTCATCTATCTAATCTCATTTGATTCTCTCTGTGAAGAATTTTTATGCTAATTATATATGTGAAAAAAACATGAAGCTCAGAAGTGTTAAACTATTTGCTTAATTCCGCATGGCAAACAAATGAAGGAACCAGGTTTTAATACTTAACTAATCCCAAATCAATTCTTTCTCTACTACACATATTGTATTATTCCTAAATAGGTATTGCCTGTCTAAATAGGTTAATATTTTATTAACAGAATTTGCATCATGTCTGTAAAAAGGGAGTCAAGAACAGTAGCAAAATTATTCTAGATTCTAGAATTCTAGTTCTAGAGTCTATAACTACTATCTCCCCAAAACCCCAAGAAGGGAAGGCTAGAGACTAGTACTTTGGTGCAACTGCTTGCTTTCCTTATAAATTCACTTTTGAAAAAAATATTTATCAAATATAAGAAACAAAAAATGAAAAGATGAATATAATAAGATCTTTGCCTTTGAAGAACTAAAAAATCTAATTGTATTTAACTGTAAACAAAATATAAGGCAGGATGAGGTAAGTACCATAATAAATAGACATAGTGGAAGTAGATGAGAGGAGTACTGAACAAAGTTTTATACTACAAGTCCAAATAAGAGCTAAATGTTATTCTCATTCTTTTAATTTATCCCACTCTACACAGTACACAAGATATAAAGCAGAAACTAACAACAACAAAAAAATAGTACACAATATTGCAAATTTCTGTCATAATGATGGTTTTCAGGGCCATCTTTTTATTTTATTTTAATTTTTTTATTGAAGTATAGTTGATTTACAACGTTGCATTAGTTTCAGGTGTACAGCAAAGTGATTCAGATATATGTATATACCTATGTATATATATATATTTTTTTTTTTCAGATTCTTTTCTGTTACAGGTTATTACAAAATATTGAGTATAGTTCCCTGTGCTATACAATAGGTCCTTTTTGGTTATCTATTTTATATATAGTAGTGTGTATATGTTAATCTCAAACTCCTAATTTATCTCCCCCCCTTTTTCTTTTGGTAACCATAAGTTTGTTTTCTATGCTGTACTCTTTAGAATTTTTGATTTCATATCAAAACAACATTCTGCAGTATTTTGAATTAATTTTATACTTCCTATAACTTTCTTGCTACTTTGTTTCTATCATTTCTAGCTGTTATTTACTTTTATTTATTTATTTATTTTTGCTCAGCTCTCTGCTGCTATGGCTTTTTCCCTGAATCTTTCAATTAATGTTATAAATGTAAAAACTTTAGCGAAGCTTTTTTGTAAACCACACTGATAACTTTTTTTTTTGATTGAGAGAAACCTGGCCTACAGTTAATTATTCTGTGCTGTTTCCTTTAGTAATCATTTTTACATTCTGTCCTTTTTCTTCAGTAGTGTCAGTGTCTTAATTAAAATCCAGTTTTAACTGTGAATCAATTCAATATATGTTGTGTACCTATGATGTACTAGGCACCATGTGAAGCATAAAGATATATAAAACAAGTTCTCTGTCCTGAAGGAGCTCACAGTCTAGCTTCCTACTTTACTAATACTGTCAGTACTTAGAAAATGTAAATTAGCAGCTCTCAGTTACTTTCTGGAAGACTTTTTTGTTTTGTTTTTTTATTTTTTTTAATTTGGAAGTTTTTATGGCGTGCCTACTATGTATTGGGAAATGTATGGATATATAATAACGATCGACATTACTCTAGTTTTCCCAATCATTCTCTAGTTTTACTTTCTGTTATTTTCCATTCCTAAAAAGCATTTAATCTTAATTTGAATCAATATATTTACTAGTCAGTTTCTATATCCTGTACATAAGCATCCACAACTTTGCATCAATTCTGCATGAAAAATTCTATATCCTGTACATACGCATCCACATCTTTGCAACAGTTCTACATGAAAAAGCTGTCACCAATCACAATGCTAATCAAGCATACATTATATAAGCTGATTTTTTTTTTTAAGTTTTGTCTGTGTTGGGTCTTCACTGCTGCGTGCGGGCTTTCTCTAGTTGTGGTGAGTGGGGGCTACTCTTTGTTGTGGTGCGCAGGCTTCTCATTGCGGTGGCTTCTCTTGTTTTGGAACATGGGCTCTAGGTGCGCAGGCTCCAATAGTTGCAGCATGCAGGCTCAGTAGTTGTGGCTTTCGGGCTTAGTTGTTCTGTGGCACGTGGGATCTTTCCGGACTAGGGATGGAACCTGTGTCCCCTGCATTGGCAGGCGGATTTTTAACCACTGTGCCACGCCCACAGGGAAGTCCCAATCAAATATACATTATAAAATAAAACTTTAAAAATGTATCCACAAGCCTGGCTCCTAAACAAATTTTATTTACTTTAGATTTTTAGCCATGCAGTTTTAACGGAGTAGTAAAATGACGTTGTATTCTACCTTAAAAAAAAACCTTGGGACTTCCCTGGCGGTCCAGTGGTTAAGACTCCACACTCCCAACACAGGGGGCACGGGTTTGATCCCTGGTTGGGGAACTAAGATTCCGCGTGCTGCACAGCGCGGCCTTAAAAAACAAACACGTTAGTGTTATGATCACAAACATTTCTGCATTTGTAGAGTTATGGCTTTATTCTAGTATATTGATATGCCATAATTAAGTCTCCAAATATTTTATATGAAGTTAAAATATTTTCATATTACAAAGTGCAACTACAAATGGTATTACTGAATCAAAGGCAGGCACTTTAATGAGTGTATCATTTATATTTACATTAAAATAAAAGGAATTTATTGGAATTACAACAACAATCCGATTTACTAGATCCTGTTTGGTATTTACAAATGTGTGTAGGAGGCAAATTGTCTTTTGTATTTTTACAAATACAATAGTATCAATAGTATCACGGTTTGGAAAGCCAGTTGCATATTGCTAATCTTGATACAAATGTAAGGTAGCAGTAACTAATATGTTCACATATTTAAGGGCTTGAATAAAAGCTTACTACGAAACCCTAAAACATTTCTTCTTCCCCACTTTGGCTTTAGAGTAAAACACTGACATTCTTTCGTAGACAGTTGAGTTTGGGTCTGTGATTTTCTAGTAAGAACTATCCAGCAAGTGGTTTCGGTTCCGCGAAGAGCTTCGGCAGATTTCAGGCAGCACGGAGGGCTGGCCAGGCCGAACCTCTGCCGGCTGGCCTAGTCACTGGGTCTGCAGCTGGGGTGGCGCCTGCTCTGGGTAGGCAGGTCGAGGAACGAGTCTTTGGCAGACCCCGAGGCCACAACTTCTCCAGGTCACTTCTTACCGCAAAGACTATCTTAGTAGAATCAGGGCCGGTCTGGATCCCTCCCAGCCCGGCCCCCGCTGGCAGTTCTGCGCAGGCGCGGCAGTCGTGCGACATCCGTCACTTACGGCGGAAGTGGTTTGTGCTGGGAGTTGGTGGCTCGGTGCAGGGCTCTTAAGAACGAACGGCTTGGGCGCGGGTAATCAGCTCCCTTTCCCCTTTTCTCTACCTCTTCTAGGTTCTTGGGAGTACGGCGGAGCTTCCGGACCTGATGCGGGCGCCCGGTCGTGGACTGTCCCACCCTGTTCCTCTACTGCTCGGGGTGCTCCGCGCCCAGGTGGGGGTGAGGGGCGGGGTCGCGGCTGGGCTGGACTCCATCCTGGTGTCTTCGTCTTGAAATCTCCCGGGTAACTCACGGTTTTTCTTGTTTTCCAAGACTGGTATCCGGGGACTGTGACTTGCAGGGTGCACCATGGAACCAGAGCAGATGCTGGAGGGACAGACGCAGGTACCAGAAGGCCCTGGATTCAGGGTGGCGGTGAAGCAAGGAAGAGTGGCTGATGTTTCTGTGACCGGTGTTTTGTTTTCTAGGTTGCAGAAAATCCCCACTCTGAGTACGGTCTCACAGACAACGTCGAGGTAACTTGCCCAGTTCCTATGCCGTATCTTTGCGTCTCTTATGAACTGGGGAAAACTTGGGTTTCATTTTTACTAGGTTGCTTTGCACAAGGGAAAACTTTATCGTCACGAACGAAATAGTATCAAATTATGGGCAACTTGTTTTATTAGCGGTACTAATACTTCGTTGTATGCAGACGTACACATCAGCTGAGTCGAGAGGTTGAATTTTGAAAATGATATAGAGAAACATACATTACTGATGGAGACTCAGAATACTTTTGCCTGGTGGCTACTAATGCTCTGTTGGGATACTGCATTGGAAAAACTGCACATCACAATTAAGAAGCCCATTGTATTTGTAGCAGAATAGTGTGCTGGTGAAGTCAACATTTAGTAAATGTTGATATCTTTGCAGAGTTCAGTAGTAGGTGCCATTGGAAGCTATAACAGGTAGTGGACACTGTTTTTGCCTTACATGGTTGAGTCTGAATTCAGAGAGTACATGTGAAAAATGTACAAAAGAAGGTATACTTTTATAGAGCTTTTTCATACAGGTACTAAGAAGTTGCTGTCTAAAAGAAGAAGTTACTTTGTAAGTGAATGAATAAATGCTGGAACAGTTGAATTAACCAGAGCTAGGTGGGATTGGTTAGGAAAACAGAGAGTTCCTGGAAGAGATGTGGGTGTTTTACAAGGTGGGTGGGGAGACATCATCAATAATTAAGTTTGGATAAATGAGGGCAGAAGCATTTCCAAGCAGAGTAATAATGGTAATAGCTGCTAATATTAGTCCTTTTACTATGTGCCAGGCACACTCCTAAGTAACTTCCATGTATTTTCAGTCTTGCAAGGCTCAGAGAATTTGAGTAACTTGTCTAAGATCACTAGGAAGTAAGTGGAGAGCTGTGTGTTAAACCTAAGCAGGCTGACATTTTTGAGGTGGAATTAAATTGTATTGCTGATCTTGACCAACTAGAGTTCCCTGGCATGTGGAGTGACTACTCTCTGCCTATAAAATTTCTAGGAATGTTTGTTGGTTGGATTATCAGGGTTAAGAAAATCTGAGTCTTTTCATAATGCAGTTTTTAATTGAACTGCTATGCTGAATCAGGTGAAGATACTTTATGCCACTTATCATTTAAGAGATTTCTTTTTAGGCATCAGCAGTCTTTTCTTGATGGTGCTTGTGTATGGAGGCAGAGCCATAATACAGTAGAGCAGTGATACCAAATGCTTTGTTTTTCAAACCCTCAGACCAATTTCCATGGTAGAGTGAGAAAAAAACTAAGGAGAGTGGAGTGAGTACTGATGATACATTATTTGGTGATTGGTTTTCTTGCTTCCATAATTTTAAAATGCCTGTTCTTTTATGAGTTATGGTGATAGTAAAATAATAATTATGCTTGTTTGTTTGTAAGTTTTTACTTGGTAAAATAGAGTTAACAACCCTATGTTAGTCCCTTCATTCACTGTATTATTTTATTTTTAATTTACTTGTTTGTGATATCTCAGAGTCTGGAAACCACTACTCTACAGCTGCTGCTGCTGCTTTTTGTCTTAGAATTCCATTTTATGTCCATTATTGACTTACAGTTTTTTTAGGTTGTTGCTTTAGGACTTATCGGACGGAAGTTTAACTTCCCACAATTTACCTTCAAGTGGTATCATATCTTTTCATGTATGGTATAAGGACCTTATAACAGTATCCTTCCATTTCCTCTCTCCTTGCCTTTATACTATTGTTATCATATATTATATTTATACATATGTTATAAACCCTGCAATTGATTATTTTTATTTAAAAAGTCAATTATCCTTTTTATTTTATTTTATTAAAATTTTTTTATTGTTTACTTAACATTATAGTTACTTTATTGCTCTAGAAAATTTAGTTTTTAAAACTATCAGATTACATACATAGTGATAATGAGACTACCCCCCCCAACAATCAACTGTATATTATGAGGCTTCTCTAACTTGGTAGATAACTATTACAAAATTACAAAAATAGCTGGTTACAGTTGAGCTATCAAGTAGGTATCACATTTCTGTAGATTGAAAAGTTGAATAAAAAGAAAACTGATGTTACTGATAAGTCGCTGAGTGTATCTGAGAAATCCAAGCTACATGCACACAGAAAAAAAACTGGTTACAAAAACCATTACGTTACTCTGTATTAACATTTTGCAATGTTTTA